ACATGTTTTGGCAGATATAAGGATAAGTATTTAAATTGTGTATTATACCAACTGTAATTTATGAGTGTAATATCAGGGGTAAATTCTTTCTACTCTCGGGTTCTCCACACTTGTCAGTGGGGAATCTCGTCTCGTCTCTATATCTCGTCCCCTTGAGGTACGGGATCGGGAAAGTCACTTATACTTTACAGTCAAATAAGACACACACAACGAAATACGTTTCAGCTCTCGTCTTAGTCGGTCAATCGAGCACTCTATAAGACACAGCGCCCTGGGGAAAAAGTCCCCAAGACTCTCACAAGGCTGAACCAAGACTCGCCCAAGACTGGACTGCCTCAAGGCTCGCCCCTGGACTGCACTCTCGACTGCCTAGGACTGCACTCTCTCTACTGCGTCTATCGTGCTGTGCTCCCCAAGACCAACTCAAACTCTCTTTATTCATTTTCAAAACTCTAACCAATTACAAAACAGTAAAAAGACTCTAGGGCGTAACCTTCAATCATAAAGCCAATCACACTAAGTACTGAATACGTCATATCTTTTGATTAATCGTTCACTACATTAATAACTATGGATACCAACTGTCAGAATCGCGACGGTTATCTGGTAATTAGTTCCAAATCACTGAGCCAAGTTCCGTCCAAAACTTCAAATAGGGCTGAGCGATGACAGACATAACACAGCAATTCAGCTAATAATCAGCTAATTAAGTCGGTCAACAGATACACAAAAACAAATTCATGACACATCCCTTCACCCAAACTGAGATATGCTTCTCGGCATAACACGTTCATAAATCAAAGATACCGTCAGCCACTCATCGTCATACAGGTTAAATACAATACTAATAAAAAGAGGTATAAATCAAAAAGAGAGTAAAACACACTGATTAATAAACTGATTATAAGTCTAAATACAATGGTTATAAAGTCACAAATATCAACGGTTATAAATCAAAAAAACAAGGGAAAGGCTACCAATCAACTCACTTTTCTCAAACAGTTCGCTGAGGTAACCCTTCGCTGCACTGTCTCCGTTACTAAAGTTACAAACTCTATATCAAAAGGTCAAGAAACTAAGTCGTGGCGGTGTAACCAAGCGATCGGCCAATCGCGGCCGTCGACAGCACGATCACGTGATTACCAGGGATGCGTCTCTCGGTTAAAGCATTGCAAAGCGGTCACTAATAAACAATGAAAAAAAAGCTATTAATCAAACTCCTGTCATATACGCTTACAAACTTCAACTGAACTCAAAAGTCGTTAATCTAAACAAAGGTCATTCGGCGTGGAAACAGAATGCAAAGACAAAGCTATCATAACACATTACTTCTCTGGCAATAAAGACGGGAAAAAGACTAAAACGATATACACTACTGAGTTACATATAAACCTGTCAATCATGAACAAAAGCTTGCGTTATCAAACAATACGCATATAAGCGCACCAAACTCTCATCCCAAAAAGACATTAAAAAAAGTTACAAAGGTGCTATCAAATCAAAAAAGCGTCAGAAGTATTCCGGAAACAACACATAAACAAAAACAACTCTTAAAACGTCGGTATCTCTGTACTCGACAAATCTCAAAACTCTTAAAAAAACACGTGGGGGCATCATTCCTCCCATCATAATCCGTACTCATAAACTCCTTAAAACTCCATAAAACTTCACAAAACTCAAAACACTGTGTTGCAAATACTT